TTGGACTTGATTTGTAATAACAGATCATTATTTCTTTGTTTTCAGTCTTTGATTTCTATTTCTATTTCTATTTCTATTTCTATTTCTATTTCTATTTCTATTTCTATTTTCTTTATTATTAACTTGTATACTGCCCAACTCCCAGATACTCTAGGCAATTCACAAAATAACCTACTAATCTTAATTAGAATTAAATGTTGTTATGCTTTTGATAAGTAAAATATATCTATCTATATATAGCATATTTATCATCTCAATCTTATCTTTATTTTTAGATACCATTCTTTGATGATGTTGGGGCCATGACATTACAGTACTTTGATTCTTTATTCCAAAGGGATAATCTTCAAAAATCACAGTTTTTTAAAGGGCTGCCAAAAGTTTTACCAAAACTGCCTAAGGTTAGCAACTTCCAAATACCTTAATAAATGCCTCACACTATATTGTAGATGAAATGTGCATTGCTCTCTAATAGCTTCATTTTGGGACTGTGACAAATGTTTCTAATTTCACATGTTTTACAAAAGGGAGTTGTAGGATGTACCAATATATAAATTTATTTTTGAAAAGGCTGCATTTTTTGTCTTATTTCTAATATTTAAGATTAATTATGTAAATCTTATTATATCTTTGAAAAGTAAGATGTCTATTTTCTTTCAGCGTGTTATAGTGCAAAGAATTTTGCCTTGCTTAACGTCTGAATTTGTAAATCCAGACATGGTACCTTTTGTTCTGCCTAATGTTCTGCTCATTGCGGAGGAATGTACCAAAGAAGAATACATAAAACTAATTCTACCTGACCTCAGCCCTGTCTTTAAACAACAGGAACCAATCCAGGTACATTTGTATTGTATTAAATATTGACAAAACTGTGTGTCTCTATGCCTTAGTCAGATTACACTGACATCCTGAAAAGAAAAGATGGAACTGTTGTGCTTTCATAAAATGTATTCAGTCTGTAAAGTTTCCAGTTAAAGTTTATTTCAGAATCCTAGATGTCATTCCCTGGAATAGATTTCTGCCAGGTGAGCAGACTTAGTTTCTAAGTCTAGTATATTGCATTTTGTGGATATACTACATTCTGTTACACATTCCAGTAGTACATACTGGTAATTTCTATTTTAAAATTGATGTTCTTATTTTCCATGCTTACAGGCTAGCAACATGGTAAGTGAATATATTTGCTATATTTACATTGACATTTGAATACAGATTGGTACCAAATGTTACTCTGAAAACTATTCTGAAATATTAGTCTGATTAACAAAAGAAGGGAAAGTAATTTTTTTTTTAAATTACATTTCATAAACAGATTCTCTTGATATTTCTTCAAAAAATGGACCTACTACTAACCAAAACACCTCCAGATGAAATAAAGAACAGTGTTCTGCCAATGGTTTATAGAGCCTTAGAAGCACCATCGATTCAAATACAGGTTTGATAACTACATGTTTTGTTCAACTTTGCTATAGCTGAAATATATTTGGCATCTTTGAAAGATTCTCTTATCCTATCTTTATTTCTTGTATTTGTTTCTATCATTCTTTAGAATAAGTTCTCACAAAGCAGTAAAAATATGTAAAAAGCAGTATGAGAATAAATTTGTAATTCTTGCATTTCAACACTTAGTTTTAGAATAGCAATTTTCTAAGAAAGCAAGAATGAAAAAGGCATTCTTTTCTCTAGAATTGTGTAAAATGTTTTGAGGTTGAAATGTTCTGATCCTAAATGTATCATTCTGACTCCAGATGCTCTGTTCCAGTTTCAAAAAAGTGTTCTATTCACAATTGGAATGATCCATTTCAGTATCAGCTTACTTCCTGAAAGGGTAGAACAACTTGCTCCAATGTTGGAACATTTTGGGTAAAGTGAGACTGTTCCAACCTCAAAACATTTTACATACCTGTGCTTCCCACACCCCACCCTGCTCTGTCCCAAAAGCTTAAGTCCCTTGACCAGCTTGAAAAACCTAGGTATAAATTTTGTTTTAAAATATTAATCATTTGGTGTAAACCAAAATTAAAAACAATGGCTTGAAAATTACTTTTTTAAAAAGTTAACTCTAACCTCATCCAATTTATATATATATAATGATTGTGGTACTTTTATTTGCAGGAACTCTGCTTAAATATTATTCCCACGTTTGCCAACCTTATAGATTATCCATCAATGAAAAATTCGTTGATACCAAGAATTAAAAATGCATGTTTACAAACCTCATCTCTTGCTGTAAGTTTTTAATACGGAAGTCTTTAAAATTGTTTGTATTTTGCTTTTTTTCCAGTTTGAACAGTATTTCTTGGTTTCTGGTGGTTGTTTTTGTTTTTTTGTTTTGTTTTGTTTTGTTTTGTTTTGTTTTGTTTTGTTTTGTTTTGTTTTGTTTTGTTTTGTTTTGTTTTGTTTTGTTTTGTTTTGTTTTGTTTTGTTTTGTTTTGTTTTGTTTTGTTTTGTTTTGTTTTGTTTTGTTTTGTTTTGTTTTGTTTTGTTTTGTTTTGTTTTGTTTTGTTTTGTTTTGTTTCTTAGCTTGATGCACTTGCTTTTTAGTATCTCCTACTCCATGATGGAGAACATTGTATACTGTAAGAGCAACAAGTGATGAAATGCAAGAGCAGACAGCTAGGATGATTATAGTAGGAGGACAATTGAGTACAATGGCAGCATCCACATAAGCTTTATTTTTTAGCACTGAGGGAGGAGAGGCATTGGTCTTATCCCTAACTATATCTTCAGGGAATCATCCAAGGGAATTATTTAAAATTGTCGGGTGACCCAGTCTTCAGTACCTTTGGCTGCATGAGGTTCTGTCTAAGCTCCATTATGACAGTTCTTAATGAATAAAATGGTTTAAATTTATGCTACATCTGATGTCACTTTAAGCTGTACCTTAAGGTGTCTGCTGTGCCATTTAATAACATTTGCCTGAGTCAATTCCACAGTTTGTCTTTTGAGGAAAGTGGATATCATTTTTATATTTGTTCACACCACTGCTTGCGTATTGGATCCCTCCCTAATTTGATTTCTAAGGATTTCCAAAAACTCTATTCTATCAGTGATCACCCAGACTATTAATACTTCACCTTTCAGGCAGAATTTCCCAACACTTTAAAAGAGGCAGAGATGTGATCCCTGATTAATAAACTATATTTTGACTGATTTCAACAACTATCAGCTGGTATCTGATAGTATATTTAGACAAACTCATTAACAAAATAGCAGTTCTGCAGCTACGGCAGTTCTTAAATGAAATGGATTGTTATGATCCTTTTCAGTTTGGATTTAGATCCTGATTTAGCACAGACTTGTACTTTTGTAAACCAGCTTAAGCCATTAAGGGTCTGTACAGCATATGCATTTTATAAATAAACATTTGCTTACTTTGCCTACTTCATAATATTAGATAATGGGTAAGATGCAAGAAAGAAATAGCAAAAGGTCTGACTCTTGGCAATAGCCTCATTTTTTAAATTAATGCAGAATTTTTTACTGTATTTTTTTCATGCAAAAACTTGTTAAAATTCTATTGTTTCTGAAGCTTCCCCTATAAGAGTAAGTTTTCACTGCTTCTTTGTACACATACACAAACTGTTTAAGTCTGGGAAGCAGATATAGGACTGCATATCCCATGTACACATGGTTTTTAAGTGATTAAAGAGCTTGTTTATCAAACTTCATTTTAAATCACCTTTATTCAAAAAAGTTCAGAGGATTTGTTTCTATATTTATTAGGTGCGTGTAAATTCCTTAGTCTGTTTGGGAAAAATTTTGGAATACTTGGATAAGTGGTTTGTTCTTGATGATATTCTGCCTTTCTTGCAACAAATTCCTTCCAAGGAACCTGCAGTCCTTATGGGAATCTTAGGTAATGTGACTTTTCATGTTTTGTGTTGCCTACAGTAATTCCTCTGTGGTACTTTGGTGTACTGATTCAAAAACAATATGTTTATACAGTAATACCTCGGTTCACAAATGCTTCTGTTCACGACCAATTCGGTTCGCGAACAGCAGCTTTCGCAAAATTTTGCTTCCGTTCACGAACTCCGCATCGGGTGATGAACACGACCCGCGGCC